ATTTTTTGATTGAATATAATTTTCGTTGAAAACTTCGACAGAATACATTTTTCGTCGAATTTGCTGTGGTTAATTTTGACGGAATTTTTTCCGTTGAAAAATTTCGTCAAAAATTAAGACTTTTCTTGTAGTGTTTGTTATTTTCATATTTTTCTTATTAATGTTGCAATTCTATACCATTTTCCGTTATCAATAATTTTTACGATGGACCAAGAGGAAAAAGAATGGTGCTACATGGCTCAGTGTCCCGTCGCAATTCTATACCATTTTCCGTTATCAAACTCTTCCTGATTATGTTCCGTTATCAACTTATTTTCATTTCCCGTTTATATTCCATTATCGTGCTACATGTTGCTCATCATCTTCTTCCTGACGCCCACGTCCTCGTCTTGCGTCTCTGACATTTGCCTCATAAGCTTCTTTTTCTACCCTCCGGTTTACTCCACGTCCTTCCCCCTGATAATTTCTCCTCTCTAAAAGACTTCTGGATATCTGAGATCCTTGCCCTCTTCGAACTTCTGTCCTCCTATGCCCAGTCTCGGGTGGAGGTGATAACGAAATATAATCAGGAAAAGGAGATACAGAACCTCTCCACCTATCCTAATCATGTAGCACGTTCCTCTCAGATAATGTCTCTTCTGAATATTTCCTTCTTCCTCTTCCTTCTTGATGTTACTGATTCCTTATCTCCTCCATTAACTGAATTAAAGCTTCTCCAATGGTATATAATGATCGACTCCCTCCACTGGATCGGAAAGACTCCTCTTCCCTTCTGTTTTCTTCATTCTCCTCCACTCGCTCATCATGGTTGTTGCTTGCCATGACTCAAGAAAATGCGTAGGATTAGCTTTACCTTTTCCACAGACAGCGCCAAATGTTCTGGACGAACATTAATATGGATCTATATTCTGGTTATCTGCCTGTGTTATCTCTATCCTTGGTGTATATATGGGGCTAGCTTCTGAACAGTTACCTTTATTATGGAAGTGGTGGGTACCATCGTGGCATCGTGGTAGGCCCACTTATAACTCCACTACTTGTAATACTGGCTGACTCAATCAACTGTTAACTCCCCTACGTGTAATACTCACTGACATGACTAACCGCCTATCCGGGTAAAGTATATCCGGGTTCCGTGTCTTTTACTCTTACGAGCAAATATGGCTGAGTGTATGAACCCATAACAGAGAATAATAAAAATTATTCTAATATACTATAATAGTAACTAAATTATTATATATATATATATATATATATAATGGTTTTTATCTAAATTTAATTTTTAATTTATGTCCAGTTACACTAATGATTTTCATAATATATGTTTTCCTTTTGTTTACCAAAAAAAAAAACATGGTTTCCTTTTCGACGAAAGACATCTTAAGATTTGATGAGAGGATAGACAAATATAAACTAAGTATGAGTAGTGTTATAGTGATATTAAGGTGCGTTCTGATAATTTCTAAACAATTGTGATATTTTTTTAAGGAAAAAATATTTTTATTTTTAAATGACACAACTTTATATGATTTTAAGTAAAAAAACCTACATATTTATTGTTTTTTTCTTCTTATCATAATACTTTATATTTCTCTATCATTCTATTTTTTTTTTGAAGGAAAGAGAATGTGAAAAATTAATAAATGTATATAAAATATGAGAAATGTTATACTTATAATTTATTTTCATTTATAACCATATTTTAACCGTTGATTTTTGTCAATCAACGACTATTAGTTTCGTAAACCAAAATTATTAATTAATTATTAATTCACAAAAAATAATAATCGTTGATTGACAAAAATCAACGATTAAAATATGATTGTTAGAGATTATAAATGAAAATAGATTGTAAGTATAACTTTTCTCTTAAATTATAGTCGTTTCACTTAAAATGATATTGTGTTCTTTAAAATTACAAATGTCTTCGCCTTTTTCAAAGAATTTTTTAAGCTACTTCTTTTTTATTAAAGGCATTAATTTTTTTTTTCAGTTTTGACCTTTTTTTAAAATCATTTAATTATCATAAATTTCTTCAAATAATTTTTATTTATATTTTCTTAAAAAAATTCTATATATATATATATATATATATATATATATATATATATATATATATATATATATATTTGACATTGCCTCTTTGTTGTGGACTCGTTCTATCTATCTCTTTGAATCATCATTGCCTCTTTGTTGTGGACTCGTTCTATCCATCTCTTTGAAATGCAAAAACAATGTCAAACAGACAAACATTGGGTGCGGTTAAAACTTGCCATTTATTGCTTACCAAAAAAAACAAAAAACAAAAAACAAAAACTTGCCATCTATTAATATGTAGGTTTCACACTATGTCTGTTTTTTTTCCATCTAGATTCTCTAACGTGAAAAATTATATGACCATGTCATGTGAAAAATCATAACCATACAAAGTAGATCAATAGTAATAAAGGAGGAGAGAGAAAATATATTAAAATAAATAGTTATAAAATCATAATCGTTGATTTACTTTTATATGGTTGTGATCTTCTCACATGATCATGTCATATTTTTTTTTACATTAGAGAATCTATTTCTGTTTTTTTTTTCTCTAAAAAAAAGTATATCTAACCAGAATTTGATTGGGTTGGCGATGAAAAGATCACAAAATTTTGACGAATGTGATAATGTATGGAAAAATTCAAATTAAATGGAAGCATGCCAAACACGAGAGGAGAGTGACGGTGAGACAGTGACCAAAATGCCACACTTTGGCAAAAAAATTACCAGAATGTCACGCGAACAGTAAAATTTCCCAAACTGCCACGCGGCATAATTTGCTACACAGTGTAGCGAATTATGTATGCAAGTAATTCGCTACACAGTGTAGCGAAATATGTCACGTCAGAACACACAGAACCAAAAATGCCACATGTCAAATTTTGCAAAATTCGCTACCTAGGGTAGCGAATTTTGCAAATTTTGACACGTGACATTTTTGGTTCTTACGTGGCATATTTCGCTACACTGTGTAACGAATTACTTGCATACATAATTCGCTATACTGTGTAGCGAATTATGCCGCGTGGCAGTTTGAAAAATTTTACTGTTTGCGTGGCAGTCTGGTAATTTTTTTGTCCAGACGTGACAAAATAGTCACTCTCGAAGTGACGGTCGCGGATTAGGTGCGGTACACGGAATGACAGGACTACCCCTACTTCAAATGAATGATACAGCTTAATGTCAGGTCAACCATACCTCGCTTTTCACAGCACAAGTAAAAGAATCTTCGCAAAAGCAGACCAACTCAAAAAACCTTTTGACACAATGACTTATTAATTAAATTACATTTCGCCGCGTTAAGTACGGAATCCAAAGATTCCCATTCGACCATGACACCCACGAAGCTTTTTTTCACGGGAATAGATCCTAAAATTTTATACGACAAACTATTTATGCGAGAATATTTTTGGTACTACAGATGTATTGAAAATGAAAACTTTGTGTATTTTTCGTTTATATTATGACACGTGTCTTATTTTTGTCTAATTAATAATAAATAATTTATTTTAAAATTAAGAGAGAGAATAATTTGATATAAAGTTAGACACGTGTCACAAAATAAATGAAAGATGCACTAAATTTACTGTGCATCTGTAGCACCAAAGAAATTTTCGTGCATCTGTAGCACTAGATTTATTCCTATCAATGAGAGCATTACACATCAGAGGAGAGAAAAAAAATTGACAGAAAAAAAAGAATTTTAACTGACATGTAATATTTTTATTGGTGGAATGCACTGAATCTTTGGTACAACAGTAGTACCAAAGATTTATTCCATTTCTGCATTCGACTGCCACAAACACGAAAGTTTCTTTGGTGCTACAGATGCACAGTAAATTTAGTGCATCTTTTACCATATTGTGACACGTGTCTTACTTTTGTCAAATTAATAATAAATAATTTATTTTAAAATTAAGAGAGAGAATAATTTGATATAAAGTAAGACACGTGTCACAAAATAAGTGAAAGATGCACCGAGTTTTCGATACATCTGTAGTACCAAAAATATTCTCGCATGAATAAATCTTTGGTGCTACTGTTGCACCAAAGATTCAGTACATCCTACTAATAGATTTATGGGGCAGGTTATATTTACAAACTTTTTTGTTTACAAACTCTTACAAATTACACTATGTAGGATCGGTCCTACATTAATCACACAGTGTACTGTACGACCGGTCCTACATAGTGTAATTGCAAAAAAAAATTTGTAAACGGATCCTGTCCCTAGATTTATTACATGTCAACTAAAGTTTTCTTTTCTCTGTCAAATTTTCTCTCTCTCCTATGATGTGGAATGTTCCCATTTATGAGATGCACTGAATCTTGGTGCAATAGTAGCACCAAATATTTATTCCATTGATAGGATGCACTGAATCTAAGTGTACCAAAAATTATTTGTGACACAGATGCATAAATGATTTTCTATGATTGGTTGATGTATAATTTTTATATTTATTTTTTTCATTAATGATAATTGAATTTGACCTAATTAATGTATGTAAAGAGAGATATATACAAAAATTTTACATGAACAGATTATGTAGAATTTTAACACGAGAGGATTGACTCCTTATTTTTTTCACATGTACTTTCCTTAACTCCGATGCTTCCAATTTTTTCTTTTTTTTAAGGATGGGAGACTCTTCATAACCAAATTCAATTTTACCCAACTAATTTTTTACTTTTTTTCCCCTCCTCTCCACAAGTCTTGAACTTTTTTTTTTAACATTGTAAATGATTTTTATTAAAAAAACAATTAAAATTAAAAAAAGAATAGAGAATAGGCTGTCATGTGGGTTACTTGGAGTTACCTAGTGGGACAAAGACGCGACCACCCGAATGCGGGTACCGAATCTTTTTGTCCTGAATCTGAATTTTGCTTTTCTTATATATAAATAAATGAATCTCTATCCTCTTCTCTATGCCCTCGTTATCACCTTAGACTGGGTATGGTAGTTTGTGACCTTGTGGTAGTTTAGTCGCCAGAGAAAAACACCCAAAGAACATTATGGAGCTGAGTTTGGATTTGAGTTTGACCTTTGCCCCCAAAACCATTTCTCTGCTTCTCGGAGACGTTTCTCGTAGCATAGATACCTCTGAAAAACTTTCCATGCTCGAGGACTTTGTGCAAAGATTGGAGGTTGAAATGAGGAAGATCGAAGCCTTCAAACGCGAGCTTCCTCTTTGCGTGATCCTTGTAAATGATGGTGTGCGGCTTCTCTTCTCCACTGATTTTGCAAACTAACACGTTTTTGTTATGATTAATTTTATTTTTTTTGTTAAAAAATATAATGATTCTGTTGGGTTTGCAGCTGTAGCAAGATTGAAAGAGGAAAAATTCCGGTGTATGGGAACGCAAGATGAACCTGTTACTGAAGAACTCATGCCACCGAAAACCAATTCTGGAGGAAATGGAAATAGACCCTTAACCATGGGAAAGGAAAGCTGTGACAAGAAGAATTGGATGAGCTCAGTTCAGCTATGGAGCACTGAAACCAAATCGGTAATTCTAAAGTTTTTAGTAAAGGTTACACTATACTGTAATTTCCATAGGATTAAGAGGAAAAATTACCTTTTTTTGTTTTTTTTGGCAATGATAGAAGAGTGAAGAAAATGTTGGGCCTGTGCCCGAGAACCCAATTCAACCACTGGATAAGAAGAAGGGTAGTGGAGGAGCATTTATAGCATTTAATGGAAATTCGCGTGTCCCCGAGACAGTGTCGAAGGAGGTTTCACAAGTTCCGAGCTTTAGTTTGATGACTCCAGCATCTGAAGTGAGTCATAATAGCAATTCCAAAAGTGGTTGTGGAGGTAATAGTTCTGCCTCGTCTTTGCTCAATCTTGAGTTACAGGATCAACCACAACCACCGCCACATCTGCATCAGAATCCAAGGAAACAAAGGCGATGTTGGTCGCCTGAGCTTCATCGGCGTTTTGTTGACGCGCTTCAACAACTGGGTGGAGCACAAGGTAGATTATATATAATTCACCAAGGCCTATTTGATTCTATCTCCTTTGAATTGGGTTGGTCCTTAATTGTTGAGGATTTCTTTGTCTGATTTGAATATGGGAATCCCAGCTTGTCCAATCTGGAATTGAAATTGTGGGTCTTGAACCTAATTTGTTTATTCTGTTTTGTAGTGGCCACTCCTAAACAGATTAGAGAACTGATGCAGGTGGAAGGACTCACAAATGATGAAGTAAAAAGCCATTTGCAAGTGAGTGTTTGTAATTGTATTTGATCTGATCAGACCCCATGATTATTTTATTTTCTGTACTTTTTTGTCAACAACTTATGTAGATCTGTGGTTAATGCAGAAGTACAGGCTTCATGTTAGAAGATTCCCAGTTTCTTCAGTTGGCCAGGCTAGTAATGGCTTATGGATGACCCAAGATCAATGTGGAGATAAATCAAAGGGAAACTTATCACAATCTGGTTCTCCACAAGGTCCTCTTACACCTCTCCTCATAGGAGGGTCTGTTAAAGGTCTTTCAAGCCCTGGAAGAAACAGCATGGATGCAGAAGATGAGCAATCAGATTGCCGGAATTGGAAAACTGGGGTCCATCAGCAACTAGAAGCTGATAATCAGAGCATCTAAAATTTTTGCAGCTAAATAATATTAAAATACATAAATGAAGATCCAGAATTAGACAACATAAAAATAATAGACCTAACACAGAACTATAGAAGGGCTCAAGTTTGTGCTATAATTATTTTATATTGTTCTGGAGAGTGCCACTGAGACTTAGCAGAAATTTTTCCAGGTTTTTTCCCTGTTATATAAAGAGGTTTTTGTTGTTAAGTTATAACAAGTATATTATTGTATGTAGCTGTAATTTTACTGGAAAATTTTCATAGATTAGTCCCCATTTCTGCTCTGTGCTTTAATTTCTTAATTTGTGGTTTGGCTTTTGGTATTTTTAGTTGATGTCACACAGTATGGAATCCAACTTGAAAATATCCATTTTAGTAACCAATGGGAGTGGATGTCTCCGGGAAATTGTTGAGTGGACAAAATACAGGTGTGTGCTCAACCATCATTGTGCCAGCCATCTCAAGGTTAATTTTAGGATATTTTTAAGAAAGGGATATTCATATAATCTCATTTTTTCACTACCAAGTATCATCTACTACTATTCACTATAACTATATATTTCGAAAAATGTATAATTATAATATTAAAGTTATTTTTCTTTCTTTCTTTCTTTATATCAGCCAACAAATTTTTGAAGAGAAAAACAGTAATTTTAATATTATAATTATGTATTTCTTAAAATATATAATTAAAATAATAAAAAAATAGTATGAATATTCATTCTCTATTTTTAATACGAGTACAAGCTTTTCTACTTCCCTGCTGATAATGTATTAAATCTGTCTCTACCCTCTAATATTGACAGACACTGCGCTTCAATGTTACGTAGACGTGTTTTTCAGCATTTTGGCTGGATTATGTAAAGTGTCAGAATTTTCCCGGCAGCATATCAATTGTCATTTGTCAATAATAGCTATTTATACCGTAATAATCCAAGTTAGTAATATTCTTTCATCAATGTTATCTACAAATATAAGAAAATACAAGTTACGTGACATAATTTTTTTTTCCTATACATTTTTAAAAAGGTATGAAACCCATTTCAATTTCTCCTTTTTTTTTATGGGTTTTATAAAAGTTATGTTATAAGAAAAATGATTGTGTCATATTACAGAGATTCATTTTTCGTGCTTTAATTTTTTCTTTTTTGCTTCAAAAAATGCGGACCACACAAAATGTTATGTGTAGAAAAAGTGATTATATCATGTTGCATGATGAATATAAACCCCATTTTTTATATAGTGGAACCCATAATATTTATATGTTTATGATATAATATAAGAAGTATTATGCAATATTATATTCACAAAACCCAAAAAAATATCTCAAAAACGTCCATGAGTCTAATTTTCATCCTTTCTTTTTCTCTTTCTTCCTCCCCCGTTCTTGTGGTTGAAAAGCTCTTTAGGTGGTGTTTGGATGGGGTCTTTTCCAAATTTGTATAGGTCTCTGAGAGAAGGAATCTAGGATAGCAATGTTTGGTTGAGAGGGATTCACACAAAAAGCTGGTGATCCAAAATGCATAGGTTTCTAAATTTTCCTCAAAATCATAGGTTTTGGTACTGTTTGAAAACCGTTTTCGTCCATGGGTTTTTGTAAAAACATGGATACTCGATTTTTGCTGTTCATCTCCTCGGTTTGTTCATGATCACCACCAGCAAGCAAATACTCCCTGCCATGAAGTTGTTGCCATAACATCATCACTTGATTCATTGAGAAAACATCAAAGCAAAAAATACGGAAGAAACATAAACGAAAGGGGAAACAGTTGTATCATATTAGCGCAAGAGACAATTTAATCAAAACAAGTAATCGTCTCAGCGTTTACTTTCAATTGCAAAAGATAAACTTGATGAAAGATGGATCCTCCCACACCCTGTAACCATTCTGTGAAGCAAGTTGAAGTGGACCAACCAAAGAAGAAGCCATCATCACGAATCGAAGCTCTCAGTGTGTGGATTTTTTTTATAATTTAAAATAAGGGTTATTTTAGTAATTTAAGATTGTTTTCCCATCTATATCTCACTTCCAACCAAACATACATTTCCTAAAATTTACCTAATTTTCCCAGTAAAATTTTTCCCTACCAAACAACTTTTTTTTACATTTTTCTACCTATCTCACTTTATCCATCTTTCCAATCATTTCTCTATCTATTACATTTCCCTACTATTCAAAAAAAAATTTCTCAACCAAACGCCACCTTAAGGAATAATCTCCATTATATTTTCCTAAGCTCTTATCCTCACAAGCAATAGCGGACTTAGAATTTTTTTTTAATTTCTGCACATTTAGAATAAAAGAATAAAGGAAAAAATATTTAAAGAAAAATTTAAATATATTAAAATACAAAAGAATAATAACAAAAAAAGAAAAAAAACTTTAACTTAATATAAAAAAATAATAATCAAGAGTCAATAATAGAACATTTTGGGTCCTCAACAAAAATTACGGGCCTCAATTTAATTTTTTAGGGAAAAAAAAGTCTACTCGTGATCCCTCAGAATTCAAAAATAGACCTAGATAATTAAAATCCTGATCTTCTGAAATTCAAAAAGACCCACATTAATCCCTCAAAAGGTCTAACATGGGTCTAATTTAGAATTTAAAAGGATCACGAGACGACTTTTTTTAAGAGATTAAATTGGATCTTATAATTTTTGTTGATGACCCAAAATATGTTTTATTCTTTTTTTTTCCCCAAAAAAATTGTGAGTGCACTTGCACACACACAGGTCCGCCACTGCTCATAAGTAACTGTTTCAAAAAATGATACTTCAATTATACGTGATCAGAAAACTAATGTTCATAATAAATCTGGTCCATTTTAGAGTTAACCAGCACCTCTTATACCGTTGTAATTGAATAAAACTTACCCAAAAGGGGGAACAATTACTCTGGGACAACGATCAAATTGCCACTGTTGACACAAAATATTCTCAAAATGCCACGCGTCCAAAATTTTTTACCAAACTGTCACGTCAGCAATCTCGCTATAACACGTGGCGAGTTAGGATTGGCCACGTGGCAACAACTCCTTAGCCACGTAAGTCGTTGCGCAGCACAACGAGATTACGTGGCAGACAACTCCCCACAATCTGCCACTTGGCCTAACACGTTGGGTTATGTGGTGTCTTAGGTGGCCAAAATCGTTGGACTGAGTAGCTGGTTATGTGGCGACTATTGAAGCACTCAACACATGTTTGACACATGTCTCACTGTGGTAAACCCGCTGGACTGAGCAATTGGTTACGTGCATATGTGACACGCGTCACCCCACTTTCAAATCTGATGCACTGCTAAGAGGTTTTAGTGGTCCCCACCACTTATTAACCGGTCCCCCCTCCCTCCCCCTTTCTCTCTCTCATCCCTCCCCCTTTCCATTTCCCTTTCCCTCTCTCTAGTCCCCCCTTTTCCTTTTCCCCTTTCTTTTGCGTCGTTCCAACTTTCCTTTTCTTTTTCTAGTTGTCGTCTGCTGGTCCCATAGTTATTAAAATCGGACCGACCCGGCCGGGTCGACCCAAGAATCGATCATATAACCGATCCGGTTGAAGCAACAGATCGGCCATGCATCAGAACAGGTGCGACTCGATCCGACCCGGTCGGTTAACCGGTGACCCGGCCCAGTCTTAAAAAAAAAACTCCAAATTTAAAAAAAAATAAAAATCATAATGGACATATTTGAATATTTTTTTGCTTATTGACTTACATAAGTTATATACCTACAACACTAATATTATCTCAATTGTGTATTATGCAGAAAATTCTGATTTGATTTGTAGTTAGAGATATCATTTTCTGGATTTAAAGCCCCATATCACGATCATTATATTTTTATTTTATCCTTTATTGGATAATAGTATGTGATTTATTATTTTTTATATTCAAATATTTGAAATTTTTATTATTATTTTTAGATATTTGAGTATATTTATAATTTTTTAATATAAATTATAAAATTACATATAATTACCGGGTCATGCGGTTGAACCAGTGACCCACTGACCCAGTACATCGATCGGGTCAATGACCGGACCAGTTTTAATAACATTGGCTGGTCCCCCTCCCCCTTCGTCTTTAGCATCCTGGTTCTACGTAGGTAAGAATTTTTTTTACATAAAATTTATTTTAATTTGTGTTTTTTTGTTTTATAGATTCTTTGTATTACAACCAGTTCCATTGTGCTCACAGATTAGTAAAAAAAAATTGGGAAAAGTGTGTATCATGTTAAAGGACACAAATTAAAAGTGTGTCATTTTAAGTGAGAGAAAAAGATAAATTATGGTGAGAGAGTGGGAGGAAGTTTTTTAAAGATGTGGGTCCCACCTATTTGTGAGAGTCAAAGGATGTAAAGTATGTCATTTAAAATGACACACGTTTTTTCCTATTTTTTTAGTATACTTTTATTTATTGTTTTAAATTTAAATAATGTTATTTTATGTAATAGATGAGATGATATTGGATATTAGTATAGTAATAATAGATGAGATGATATTGGATATTAGTATAGTAATTAAATTCTAGGATAGGTGTTGTATTTAGATATTTATTAATTTATTAGTCTAGATTATTAGACCCTAGGATGTATAACATTATTTAAAGATATAGGAGTGTCTAAATAAATTATGTTAAAATAATTTAGTTAAGGATTATTAATGTAATTTAATGTATGTGTGTTAATTAATTTAAATTAATATAGGAGTATTAATTTAATTTAATTTAGTTTATGTAAGTTAAGTTATTTTAGACTGTTAAGGTATTTAATATAAGTTATGAGTGTTAATGAATTTAGTGAAATTTATGTTTGTTAATTAATGTAGTTTAAATTAGTATAAATTAATTTAAATTATTTTAGAATTATCAATTGCTAATTTTTAGGAGTGTTAATTATATTAAATTAATTTATGCTAATTTAAATTATTTGTAACCGTTAAAAAATTTAATATAATTGAGTAGTATTAAAGAATTAAACTAAATTAATGTTTGTTAATTATTTTAGTTTAATTCAGTGTATATTATTTAAATTATATTAGAATAATTAATTAGTTATTTTTAATTAAATAATTAATTAGTTAAAAAAAGGTTAAACGTATCCAGTTATGCTGCATAACGAGTTGTCCACGTGTCAGAAAAGTGACACATAACCCGCTATGCTGCATAGTGAGTTTTAAACGTGTCAGAAAAGTGACACGTAACCAGCTATGCTGCATAGCGAGTTACACACGTGTTAGCCACCCAAGATGCCATGTTGCTTAGGCTAAGTGGCAGACTGTGGCAGGAGTTGTCTGTCACGTAATCTCGTTACACTGAGCAGCGGCTTACGTGGCTAAGGAGCTGTTGTCACGTGGCCAATCCTAACTCGCCACGTGTTGTAGCGAGATTGTTGACGTGACAGTTTAGTAAATTTTTTTGAGAACATGGCATTCTGGTAATATTTTGTGCCAACAGTGGAAATTAAACTAAATTAATGTTTTTTAATTATTTTAGTTTAATTCAATGTATATTATTTAAATTATTTTAGAATAATTAATTAGTTATTTTTAACTAAATAATTAATTAGTCAAAAAAAGGTGACACGTATCCAGCTATGCTGCATAGCGAATTGTACACGTGTCAGAAAAGTGACACGTAACCCGCTATGCTACATAGTGAGTTTTAAAAGTGTCAGAAAGAGTGATACATAACCAACTATGCTGCATAGCGAGTTACACACTTGTCAACCACCCAAGATGCCACGTTGCCCAGCGTGTTAAGCCAAGTGGCAGACTGTGGCAGGAGTTGTCTGTCACGTAATCTTGCTGCACTGCGCAGCGACTTACGTGGCTAAGGAGTTGTTGTCACGTGACCAATACTAACTCGCCACGTGTTGTAGCGAGATTGCTGATGTGGCAGTTTAGTAAAAAAAATTAAGAGCATGGCATTCTGATAATATTTTGTGTCAACAGTGCCAATTTGATCGTTGTCCTCAATTACTTTTTCATAATATATTAACTTCGAACCTACTTTTATTAACTTGTCAATTCAAGATTGAATTCGAGACCTTTTATTACCGTTGTGATTGAATAAAACATACCAAAAGGAGGGAACAAGTATTCTTTTCATAATACATTAACTTAGAACCTACTTTTATTAACTTGTCAATTCAAAATTGAGTTCGGGACATACGTGACATGTGTAATTGCCATCTAACCTTATCTCAAAAGTGATACGTCTGTACATATATATTATATGTACAGTGGAATATTATAATTACAACTTATTTTTTTTTATAATATTTTATAATAACTTTGATAATAGTTGAATCAAAATTAAATTAACGATTACAAAATAATATTAAGTGACAATCGTTGATTTGATTTTGATTCAACAATTATAAAAATAATTGTAAAAAATCATAAAAAATAAAAGTTATAAATATAACATCTCCCATTTATATATATTCTTAATGAATTCATAACGAGTCATTTCAATTAGTCGAATATGCCAGCAATGCAAATATAAAATAAAAGCCAATGCTCCTACATATCATCATAAATGTTTTATAAAATTGATTACAAATATGAGAACGGATATAAATATATGAATGGTCAAAGAAAAAATTGATTTTAAACAATTATATTTTTATGAGAGATTGATATGCACTACATTATTTCATTTTAATTTGAACTTGTGGACAAATTTCTTCTCCTCCACTCTAATCAGTTATTGTCTTCCCTAAGTATATGAAGTTATAAAGAATACTTATTTTTCATACATTTTATAAGATTATGTTGAAGAAGCTGACATATATAAGGAAGGTTGCTCTGGTTCATAAAAGTAAGGCATGTTTGGTATATAGTATAGGATAATGTCTGATAGTATAAGACTTGATAATAATGCATAATTGTATAAGACTTGATTAAATTTTAATACTATACAACATTTGACATGATATTGTATAAGATAATATCATCCAATGTTTGGTAATACATTATATAATACTAGATAGATTAAAAATAAATGTTTTTGTCAAAAATACCTTTTAATAATAAATTTACATAATTCTTCCAAATATATCAGATGGTATTATTTTTTATAGTAATATGTTGATATGTGTGTCCAAAAAATATATTAATTTTTACAAAAATAGAAATCTCCAATATTTTTATAAATTATATATTGAAAATTTATTTTTTATTTTAATATACTAATATTAAAACAATATATTAATTCCTGAGGATTGCATTGGTTAATACATCTACCTCTTATCAGGTCTAATATCATGTTTGGTGCATAGTATAGAATAAGGCCTGATAGTATAAGACCTGATAGTATAAGACCTGATAGTATAAGGCCTCATTGTATAAGACCTGATTGAATTTTAATACTATCCAGCGTTTGACACGGTATTATATAAAATAATATATTGTATAAAATAATATCACATAGTATTTGGTAATATACTGTATAATACTATATATGATAAAAATAAATATTTTTAATAAAAATATCCTTTAATAAAGAATTTATACAATTCTTTAAAAAATATCATATGATATTAATTTTTATAAAAATTTATTGATTAGTGTGTCCAAAATATAAATTAATTTTTATAAAAATAAAAATATTCAATATTTTTAAAATTAATATATTGAAAAATTAATTTTTATTTTAATAAATTAATATTAAAATAATATATTAATTTTTGAGAATTACATTGATCAACGATGTTAATACATCAATCTCTTATCAGGCCTTATCCCTCACCCTCAGGCCAGATTAAGTTATACATCGTTTTGATGTATTAAGGGATTATGCTGTATAAGCTTATACTATACGATGGTCACACCAAACAACTGAAAATGTTATAACGTATAATATAAGCTTATACTATCATGCCTTATACGTCACACCAAACAGGCCCTTAGGCCTGATTAAGTTATACATCATTTTGATGTATAAAGGGATTCTGTTTTAAAAATTTATACTATACGATGGTTACACCAAATAACTAAAAATATCGTAACGTATAATATAAGCTTATACTATCATGCCTTATACCTCATACTCATTAAATTGATTTGATTAGGGTGGTTAAATAAATTAAAATATAAGCTATTTATATAATTAGGTTTTTACTCAGATATATTAACAATTATTATTTGGTGGATTAATAAAATTGGTTTTTGTTTTTGAAACCTGTTTAATGTTTATTTATCAATTTTGCGGGTTTGGATCATCCGATCCAGTTTCATCCAGTGGCAGGCATATGACTTGGTGCCCGATTCGAATCTTCTCTGGTCCAAATGGATACAGATCGGATCATCCTGTGCCGATCCAATTTTTAAAAGAGTTAAAAAAAAAAAAAAAAAAACTCAACCAAAAATTGATGAGGTGATTTTTCTGAACCGGAAATATTTTCCGTCACACTAACATCAGAAATTACCCTTTGCCGCCAAAAACCAACCGGTGTGCTTAACCTAAGGTACATTTCTCCCTTTTCGTTATATGCTTAATTTCGGAATAAACTTGCTGTTTCTTTTTGCTCGGAAGCAATTAATGCAACGAATATGCTATTACGTGACTGAAAGGAAGTGAAGATGAAAGAAATTGTAACAATCCAAGTTGGTGATTTTGCCAACTTCGTAGGCTCTCACTTCTGGAACTTTCAGGTTTCGATTCCTATTCATTCTTCCTCTACGTTTATTTACCTTCTTTTATATTAAATGTCAGAATTTGGTTCACTTCATATGCAGTTTGCCTTGTTTTATTTATTTCCAAGTGATGTAAACCCTATTTCCCTCTTTTTTTTTTTTTTTTTTTGTCTCTCCTCACAGTTGAACTTTTTTACTTTAGTGATTATATTTAGCTGAAAGTACTTTTGAGCTGCTCATTGTTTAATTTTAATCATGTAATATTTCATTTGTGTTCAATTGTAAGGATGAGTTGCTTGGTTTGGCTTCGGATCCTCATGCTGATTCTGTCTTCAAGAATCAGGATCTTAACATGGATGTGCTTTATCGTACTGGCGAGGGACAGCAGGTGCAATTTTCTATAGCTGAACTAGCATTCAAGCAATTTTATTTTAAATGGCTTGAAGTATGTTGGTAGAAGATTGAATGAGATCTTGTATTTGGACTTATCTAGTTGGTCTGGTGCTGATGCTATCTAGTGCCTCCATTCCATATGCTATTTCCTGATTTCCTGTTGCGCCAATGCAAATATTATAGTACCAGTTAATTCCGTTGTGTTATTATTAACTGATACTTTAATGTCTAGTTGGCATACTTTTAATGGTGGCAAGGGAAAATGGGGACAGATAATCTGAATCTGTATGTTAGAAGCATTATATCTTCTACCTGTGTTTACACCATTTTTGTTTAAATGTGTGCAGGGCATCCTTACATATACTCCTCGCCTAGTTTCAATAAACTTAAGAGGTATTTAATTTATATATCTTTAAATTATTGAAGAAACGTTTCAGTGTTATTCCTTCTTTCCCTGTTCATAGAATCTATTTGTTAGGCAGCATTGTTTTTCATTAAGTTGATGCCACTGTGTGGTTGCGAAGGATTCATGGTTAGGTTAAATTCAACTGAATTCTAAAAGAGAATACTGATTAAAACAAATTGTATTAGTACATTGTGGGACCAATGTAATTGATGTAAAGGTTAATTAGTAATTGTTTAGATATTGTGATTAGAATCGTCTGAAATCAGGTGATTTATGATAAGTTAATAGGAAAATTGTAAACAATATAAAACAAGATGATTCATACTTCAACATGGGTATAGCTTACTTCGTTCATAGAATCTGAGAAAGAGCAAGAGATTCATCATTAAATTTGGGAAGCATGATACAGTGCTAAAAGCAAAAGACAACTTATTTTCTTGTTATGAACGATAATTTTGTATACTTTATAACCACATGATTGGTAATATTTACTGTGGAGGAGTTTGGAAAGTCTGAACAAAGATTATAAAATACGCAAAGTAACCTATGTTGGTGGTAAATAGTACATATTTGAGATTGTTTATTTTTTATTGAGGAGGACAATTCTAGATGTTCACTTTTGATGTGATTCCCACATACTCAAACTTTTTATGCAGCATGATAGCCTTTCTGCCCTTAAGGAGCTTAAGAAAGCATAATAACTTGCCTGTGGTGTTTCCTTCATTAACTTCAGTTTTTATGACATCCTTGCTACTTCCATTTGCTCTGTGTTAATTATGTCTTCTCTCTTCTGTTAATCTCATGGTGATAGCATGTTTCAATGTAAACTTATTTTAGCATAAGATTAATTGTATAAATTCTTATCTTTTTTATTTTTTTCCTGGTGTAAACATTGTTCCCTCCCATCCCCCTTGTATTCTATTCTTAGGATTTGTTAACCTTTCCAGGATCCCTTGGATCTATGAGTTCACATGGATCATTGTACAAGGAGGTTGATCCCACAACATCAGATGTTGTTACCTGGTGAGAACTTTTAGTCTATGCTTGTCTAATGATGATTTGATGATAAAGAGTAATGAAGAGAATAAAAATTGTAGAGGATTGAAGAAGGCTCGCCGACATGGATATTGTTGGGAATGTTGATTTCTGCTGTGTGAATCTTCTCTCTGCATTATTATCTTTTAGTAAAATGGCAGTGGATTCATTGCATTTCTTTTTAAATATTAGCAATATGGAGACTTCGTATAAGGCTGGTTTAGAATTGTGTTGGCATATTACCTGAAAACTCTGATGGAGTGCAAATCTTCACTACAGAAACACACAAGAAAACTCATATTTAAAAGTATGCATAAAAATAAAAAAATTGGTAAATGTCTACAAGTATCTAACTTTTAAACATTCTGTTGTTCTGTTTACTTGTATCTTTTATTGTTTTTCAACTTTAAACCTTCAAGGTTTTTGAAAATTTGAAATTGTTCTGTCTCCCCCTTTTTTTTGGATAAGAAACCTACTTCATAAGTTATACCTCTCGTGGTCCCTTGGTTTAAATTTATGTTCAAATGTGCTGAATGCCCATAGACCAATGTGCAGGACTGGTAGGGTTTCCACCCAAGCTTCTGAACCTCACAAAAAAAATTTGTTCCTACAAAGACTTTATGGAGAAGAGGAAAATTCGAATATGGTAAATGAGATCAATGGTTCAAAGAATGGTTCTCAGAGTGAGTATCAGGACAAGGATATTATTGACAGTCTAGAAGATGGTGTACGGTTTTGGACAGACTACTCAAAGGTACATTATCACCCCCAGAGTCTATATGAATTAAATGGAGTTTGGGCAGATGCTGAGGAATTTAACAATTATGGAATTGGAAGGGATTCCTTTTCTTGGACTTCACAAGGGGAAGAAATCGGTGAGAGGCTTCGATTTTTCGTTGAAGAGTGTGACCATATTCAGGTAAAAACTATTGCTGCTTTTCGCTTTTTTAATCTTGTAGATGGGTTTGGGGGATATTTCTCATGTATCTTTAACTTCAACCCTTGTAGTGAAACAATGAGTGGAAGCAATATCTTGTGGCATCTGGAATTCATATAAGTTTTCAGTCAATTTGTATTCTTAGTTTTCATTTTTTGTAAGTTCCTTTTCATATATAAGATTGCATTGCTTATGCCTTGAACATGGGAAAAGCCTATATTTAATCAACCAAATTACTCCTTTTCTATGATGAACTCAATATTTCATAAACTCTGGAATAAAACCTGTTAACAGAGGTACAGCAACTGTGATTCTGTAAAAGTATGCTAACATAACAATGTCGTCTCACAATTCAAGGACCTACTTTATGACTAGATATCATAGTGTTAGTGGATATGTTTCTTTCTTGTTTGGCTTTATAAATTTTGGTGCCAGATTTTCAGATTGATGGTATGATTAGTATTGGGTATTTATAACTTAAAATATGTAGTGTTTTGATCTTAGCCTGGCCATCAGGTTCTAAAAAAATTCATTTTGGTATGTTGTGCCTTAAATTTTGGCAGGGATTTCAATTTGTTGTTGATGACTCTGGAGGTTTCTCTGCTGTGGCTGCTGAATTTTTAGAGAATATTGTAGATGAATATACAAATACTCCTGTCTTGTTGTATGCCGTTCAAGGTTCTGGTTCATGCGCAAGTCTTCAGAGCAGGAAACGTACAATCTTAGAGGATCTTCATGATGCTATATCTTTTTCAAGACTATCATCTTACTCTAAACTTATTGTGCCCGTTGGTCTGCCCTCCTTAAGTAAAAGTAATAATCTTTGTAAGGCAGAATTTATTATGTTAGGCAACTCAATAGCCCTTCCTTGATAACAGGGAGCAAGCACTGATGCTTAACATGCTAATACTTTACTAATTTAAATGGCAGATGTCATTGATGGTCTTGAATTGTGTTTTGCTTTGTTCTAGTGCCTGTTTAGGAGCTCTTATTTTTAGCTTTTTATCTTCTTATAAGCAGAAGTTTAGCCAAACATAATTTTACAAAAGCTCTTATCATAAAAATAGCTTTTTTTTATAATAAAGAAAAAAGTTAAAAGTTCCCAGAAGGAGCTTTTTTTAAGATGTATGTCAGCTTTTTGGAGTTCTCACATTTATTTTTCAATCATACCCTTATTCTAAACTTTCATTTATAAATTTTATCATTTACCCTAAAAGCAAATCTTTTCATCTCTCTCCCTTCAAAACTATAAGCTCTTTTTTAAAAGTAGCTATTAGCTTAAATAAAAGATGTGCCAAATAGGTTCCTAATATTGATTCAATTTCCCTGATTGATGTCAAATCTTGCTGATGCATAAATTATAGATTTCAGCACTCTTACTCAATTTACTGAACCTTCTTTTGACGTCTTTATTCTGGACTAAGTTTCAATTTTCATCTAATTTCATAGGTAAAGCTTCTAAGTTCCTCCACATTGAAGATGAGAAGCATTATCACTCTAGTGCAGTTTATGCTGCTGCACTACACTCCATTAGTCTTCCTTTCCGAATGGTACCAATTGGGCCTACTACAGATGCATGTTCTGTTTCTGGGGCTGTGGATGTTCATGGAGTCATACAAATGTTATCAGGTCAAGGAAGGCAGAATATGGTGTCAGTTCTGGATGTTGCCATGCCAGCACCTGCTTTTACTGGTACATGTGAATAATAATTTGAGTTAATCATGATAAGTAATGTATTTGATTGATCTTATTCTTGAATGTCAGGGGGACAGAATGAACTGTCTTTCTTAGAGAATTTGCAGCCGTTGACCCCACAAATATCAGAGGATATTGAAGACATGCAAGCTATTGAATACATGACAGTCCATGGAGCTCTTGCATCAGGTATTGGCTATATAGAAATTAATTAATTAATTTTGTCTTGTATGTTTTTTCTTTTCTTAGTCTTCTAAACTTACTTAAGCAGTATTTGTCACTTCAATGTTTTGGTCCATATCTAATTAGCGTATTGGTTTAATTTAGTATATAGTAGATTCTCTAGATCTCAACCGTACTATTCTGACTAAGGCTTATTGTGAAACAACAGATTTTAGGATATTTATCACTTGTAAGCGAGTGAATCATTGGAGGCAGCAAAGCAAAATATACGTCCCATAGATAAAATAAAAATAAAAAGATATGTTATACATGTTTTGTGGATTTGAATAGAGAACAATTATATAAATATAGGTTTGAACTGAAGACAAGACAACTACCAAGTTCTATCATGAAACGTATAATAATACAATTGCTTTTCTTCTATATTCTGAATGAACTAAGGGATGAATTATCACATAGTATTGTGCTGCAATATAGCGTAACAAGGATGTTTGGTCCTCTGTGTTTGCTCTTTTAAAAATCCACTGGTGGTATCCAAGACAATGATTGAGATGTTGGCTTCTTGTTTTAATAGATTAGCAGTTTCAGGTATTTTTTTGGTATTCATTATGTTGTGGATCTCTCTCCTAGTTATATTAGCAAAGATCCATGGATTTGCGAAGACTTAGTTGTTTATCTAACTTCAATACAATATATACTACTATTTAGTTAAAAAGATAAGCCCGCTTGTTGTTTGAAGAGGTTTTTATTTTTATTTTTTAAAATTCTTTAAAGTTGGTTCTGGACCACTCTTGTTGATGTAGTGAAATTAGTAATGGTGCTTGGAAGAAATGCAGCGTTAATGATAAAAGATAAGTGAGATAACCACTTGTTTTCCCTCTTTTTAGTTTTATGTTTTCAACATCATTTGAAGACAGGAGAATCTCACAGAAAACGTTTATGATCACTATTTTGACTTGCTTGAACAAGATCTTAACTAGTGCAAATTTGGTGTATAGTAGATCCTTCATAAGCATAGTTGTGTGAAGTGATCTACAGGAATTATCAACTTGTCCCTATTTAGTCCTATTTTTCTCTTGTTGCTTCCCCATGTTCTGTCCTCTGCATGATTATTTGTCTCAATACTTCACTGTTTTGGTTGAATAGGTGGTCACCCCGCTTCAGTTTCTGAAGTAAAGGATACAGTTGATGCTGCTTTTCAACGTGCCAATACAAGGCCAATGTTCTGTCATCTTTCTGTTGCTCTTTGTCCCCTGCCTATTCCCTTGCCTTTTCCATCAATCTTTGGGAACCATGTCGGCCAGCACGGAGAATTGATGGGTGGTCAAATGACCAATTCTTCATCTAGAGGATCCCTTGACGTCCATTCCATCCCCATGGCTGCTAGATTACGTTCCAGCAGTGTTGTCTTACCTCTTTTGGAGCGTAAATTGCAAAATCTTCACCGGTTTGGAATTGAGCGAGGAGCAGCTGGGACAGAGTTGCTTAGGAGTTGGGGCTTCGGAAAGGAAGAATTGGAGGAAATGGAAGAGATGTTATCTAAAATGGTTGCGACATTAAGTCCTCCTCAGATGTCATCTGATTCAGACTAGAAGACATAAGTTGTTCTTGATTCCCAGAAAAAGAAAAAGAAAACATTCGGCCTTGTTCGAGTGTCAGGCTTTTTGTTGGTTAATGCCCCAAAACCAACATAGTTGTTTTGTTTTTAAGTACGAGAGGTTTTCGAGGTATCATCTTTGTCATCGATTTTTTTTTTTTAAAGTCTTGTAACATATCACTTAAATTTGAAAGTATAGTTTCTCTTGTTTGCAATATTTGGGGGGGTCTTCTGGTCTGCTTAAAAGGATTTGGCTAACTTCATGTTCATCTTCACCAATGCACGGTTAAAATGGAATGCAATATTTATGAAGGAAACTATGAAATCTAATTTATGGTATTCTTGATATAATAATAATAATATTATCTTTTTATAGTTAAGCAGAGAAATTCTTACATTAATTTAATAAAAAAATAAAATTGAAATTCAGTAAAAAAAAAAACGTAAGGTTTAAATAAAATATTTAAATATGTTTAATTAGCTCAACAAAAGCTTTTTTTCTATGAATTCACCTAACGTGATTATTTTATTTAGTATAATTTATAGACTGTAGATTTATTTATTCAAAAATTTTATTTTAATTTAGATCAAATATAAAAATCAACAACACTGAAACTAAAAGAGAATAAAATAATTTAAATGTATCTTATTTCATATTTATTTTTCAAATTCTGTCTATACTAAAAATCGTAATATGCAGGAATCAATCGCAGGACAAATTACTAGCAGCTGTCGCTTCGTAAAAACGAACAAACTGGGGTGCTATCTTGGTTCAATTATCAAGCATGGCAGAACAACAAAAAGTCATTTCACAGACATTATGGACAAGGTCAGAAAAAGGCTAGATGGTTGGAAACACCAATGTTTATCATTTGCAGGAAGGGTTACTCTAGCTCGATCAGTTTTGTCTGCCAGAAGCTTTGTGGGTCCAAGTTCTAAAGGCAAATACGGTCGAAACGTGGATCTACGAAGGAGCATCAGTGTGAAGAGTAATGATTCTCCACTTTGGAAAGCATTTGGAAAATGTTGGCATAAGTTTCTTCAACGAATGCGCTGGGAAGTGGAAGATGGAGGTTCAGTGAATTTCTGGCAAGATAACTGGTTGGATTTGCATAGTCCACTTTGTTATAAGGCAAAGAGGGGCATCCCATTGGAGGACCAAAACAAGAGCATCAGGGATTGGGCACTTACGAACTTAAGCTATGGGTGGAGGAGACTCGAAGCGGAGTGGATAGACATCTCTTTGGTTACATGTTGGTCGTTATGGATGTGGAGGAATCGCACTATCCACGAAGCAGACTTCACATACCCAACACAACCTCAGGAACATATAATGGTCTACATTCATGATGTGGCAAGAGCAAGGAACAGATGTGACATAAGGAGTACAGACCTTTCTATACCAGTTGTAACACCCTATTGGAAGCCCCCAGAGGATGGTTGGATCAAACTGAACTTTGATGGAGCTTGTAATAGTGAAGATAGGGCGGCGAGTTGCGGTGGACTACTGAGGGACACCAATGGTGTTTGGATTGTAGGATATGCAGTTTTTCTGGGATATACCAATCCCCTTGATGCTGAGCTCAATGGAATACTTCTAGGCATGCAGGTGGCTTGGGAGGCAGGTGTGAGGAGGCTCGTAGTGGAAGGGGATGCTACAAATGCTTTAGCAATCTTGGACAGAAGTGGTGCAACAGCAAGAGGCTCTACAATGGTAAAAGAGATATGTGAGTGGCTAAAGAAGGATCGGGAGATAAAGAAAAGTTATTCCCCTCCTCAAAATAATGATTGTGCTCATTTGCTCTGCACTATCTGATGTTCGAGAAATGAGAATTACAAAGGAACCACCTCTTCACGTGAGGCATAGGGATGCTGTTAGAGGCTCGGGATGGAATAAATCTTTGGTACTAATGCTATATCAAGATTCAGTGCATCTCATCAATGAGAGCAATACACATCAGAACAGAAGAGAGAAAAAAAATTTGACAGAAAAAAATAAAATTAGCTGACATGTAATATTTTTGTTGGTGGGATGCCTTAAATCTTTAGTACAGCAGTAGTACCAAAGATTTATTCTTAGAGACGGTAGAGGTATCTCCACCCCTGCATAGTTTTTTTCCCCCTGTTTATTGGGCTAGTGCGCTCCTATTGTACAAAAAAAATAAAAAAATAAAAACTCGTAATCCAAATGTTTCTAAGTTTACGACCTCTGGTTGCCCTCAATTTCTTTTGGACCGACCTCTCAATAGCTTATCTGCCTTTGTGACTTACCCACCTTTTCAACTGTAAATACAAGTATGACCAGCTTTTTTTTATAATCCTAATTAATGACCAACATTTTGACCTAACCCAGACCTGAATGACCGATCCTATCCCAATGGGTTACCTGCATTCAACCGATCTTTCGTGGCCCAAGTTCTTTTATGTAATGGCTTGGACGATAGTCAATCAATCCTTGATTTTTTGCAAAGATTGAAAAATAAAAATAAAAATCACATTCCTCTTTCATTGCAATGATGAGGTAGTGCACCCACCAAATGTACCACTTTTTACCTTTTATATATAGTAAGGAGTTCAGTTCATTACACTTTATTTACACATTAACTTAGACGTTAGGGTACCTCTTTCCAAGTATATATTATCGCGGCACTTGACCAAGCAAGAAGACCTCAAACGTGAAGAATCCTGTAAAAAAAATTTATGCCATCTTATTTTTCGCTTTCCATAAAAATCCTAAAACTTGTTCTGAAACAGGAAAAAGTTTTGAATTTCTCTCGGCCTGTTTGTGACAAAGAAGCGAAAAAGCAATGTTCGTTTTTCTTTTCGTTGGTTTGTTCACCTTCCAGATAAATGTGTGTTTCACGAATGAATGATATCAACCGAAACTATTATTGGTGTCAGACCCACAAGCAAATGAAATGACCTTTATAACCTCCACCTTGTCATGTAAATGTGAAACTCTTATAAAATGCGGATCCACCAAAGTTTAAGATTCCCCGACAACATCAAACCATTGGGCGTATTCTAGATTCTCAGTCTGACCCTCGCGGGGCTATATATAAGCTATATTTTTTATTTATTTTTTGTTAAGAGGGATTTTGTCATCCCAATTTTTTATTTTCACTTCAGTCCAATCCATCCCTTTGACTTTTGAATAAGACATCAAATAATACATGATTCATCCATCCGTAAATAAGATACTGTACTGTTCTTTCCTTTCCTTGGTGCTTGGGCGCCATCTCTTCCAATTAGATAGCATCAGAATTCCCCTGGCGGAGTCGATTCCAAATAATTAGACGTAAATCAAATAATGATAGCTTGTGAATATATACTAGAGTGCATTCTTTAATATAATGATGTCATTTGAGAGGATCATAATTATTTATGGTTAAAAAATATTGGGATCGAGAATAATAAAATTGCCACCGTTGATTTATTTATGAAATGGTTAGAATCCTATTACATAATATTGTCTTGTTAAATAATAAATGAGAAGATTCACTCCGCTTGAGAACCCTTACACAGGGAGACCATGGTGCCACATGTGTTAGCACTATGTGAGTATAACTGTATAAGTTGGTCCACTAGGGAGACTGTCACATATACCCTACACCATAAAACCTAAATTATGTATTTACTTGAGTAAATACCTAAGAAACATTAGTACAGACAACAATTGAAAAAATCTCCTTTAGTGCAATAAAGGGCATCACATCCCAATTAATTATGAATAATTTGGTATTATTTATGGGATTGATTATATTTACCATCATTTTAGGCTTATCACTCTTACTACTTGTTTGGTTACCGTCGAATCAACTTAAAATTAACAATTGAAAAAGAGAAAAAATTAACTACCGTTAATTTCAAATTGATCAAACGGTAATCAAACATGTAGAAAGAGTGATAAATCTAAAATGATGATAAGTATAACCTTCCCCATTAATTATAAGTATCAACCATTATAGATAATTGACTTTGTAATTATAAATGATTACTTTTTATATTTATGGAGTCGAATTATGGGTGATTAATTTTATATTTACAAGTAATTAATTTATTTTGTATTATGCTATCGATTTATGGATTATTGATACGGAACCTGGTATATTCCAAATTTTGTTCATTCAAATAGTCTCTTTAATAAACTCCGTTCTCTCCGATTTATAACACATGATAGCTTGTTTGAGTAATATTTAGCAACAACAAAAAAAATACTTTTTTTCCGTTGATCCATAAATACATAATCAATCAATGATTGATGCCCATAATTATTACTCAATTATAAATAATGATTGATTGGAACAATTAATTAGAATGTGATCCCCTGTAACTTTTATGTGAGATTTCTTTAGTTTTATTGCCTTTTTGGTGTTAATTATTTTTAGATATTTATTCGATTAAATGGCTCGGGAGTCTCGCTCGCTAACCCAACCAGAGTTAAGGTATTGAAATGTAGCACCGTGATGGTGTTGGTGGGTTAAATATGATCAAACTAAATAATTTAAAAAATATACTATTTTATTATTTTTTAAAAAATATATATTATATTAACAAAAAAGCCGGTGCCAATTTAACCAAGTTATTGAGCATTTAAGCGTGAATGGAGATGTGAGTAAGAATAGAAATAAATGGATAAAGTAAAAATCTTATTAAAAAAGATTTCTACACCTAATATGTTTAGATTTTAGATCAGATATCATATAAGTCTAAAGGTACAGTTTGTCACTTAACCGTTAATAAACTTCTTCCCATAATTTTGATCTGAGCTTCCCCTAGCCTATAACAGAAACTCAAGGCATGTTTGCCACTTAGCCATTAATAAATGGGTTAATAATTTCTACAGCTAGATAAATTTCTCTACGGTCAACACTTATAATTATATACTTTCGAAAATACATAGTTATAAAAAAATTTATCTCTTTTCAAATTCTTGTGTTGCTGACTTATAGAGAGAAGCGAAAAAATAAATTTAATATTATAGTTATATATTACTCGGAGCATATATTTATAAATGGTGATTACAGAGTAACTGTAAAAATTATTAAACTTAATAAATTTCTTCTCATATTTTTGGTTTGACCTTCCCTTAGCCTAACAGAGACATCAAGGCATCATAACCAATAAAAAATAACGAGAATAATTACAGATTAGTGAAATGAAAATTGAAAAAGTCAGTGTTATGAAGTGCTTGACCGCTCATGCAGTAGAGTATCTACTGCCTGCCTAGAAACAAACATTTTAATTTTTTTCATGATTTTTATTTAAAATAATTGCACATCTCAAAATATATTCAATTACATAGCGTTTTGTATCATTTCCCATTTGAAAGAGCAAATCAAGCACATGTGGCATCAAAGTCAACTAACGAAATCTGTGAGCAGCCCCCCACGGTTGACTGATAACGGATTCCAAAACAGTATATATACAAAATAAAAGAACTATTATATTTGACGAGAAGGCACTCATCAATTGATTTCATACAATCTTAATGAAAATAAAAATAAAAATCTGTAATTTTTATTTGGTCAACTTCCCTGAAATTTTCGACTACGAAACATTGTCGGTTGTGTACAAATCACTCGATAAAATGTTGCGATGCCGTAAAGCTGTATTTCTTTGAAGTGTTTATGTGCTATTTTTGACTTTATGAGCTGCATCTATTTAAAAAAATAAAAAAATAGGGTTTGGAGCAACCGACGAAGATATAGAATAAGATTTCCAAGACGCAAATGAGATCATAACTTTTATACTACTTGCTAAACACGAACAATGCACCAGAACTTCTACACATTCCAGTGTAAAAGGACTGGTTATGGTAAGCAAAATTTATAGGGAGTTGTGCACTTTAGCAAAATCTGAAACAAAGTTACATGTTAGGGTGTTGTCATTTTCTAGAGATTAGTCAATTTTTTTTATTGGAGACCCACGTTACTTGTGAAATTTTACAAGTATCAATCTTGATGTAACATAAAGTACATTTTTAAATGAAAAAAATCACATGCATTAATCTTTAGGAGTCTGTCGATGAACCTACAAAATATTGGTGGTGCCTATATATTTATTTGTTACTTATTCCAAAATTTATCTAATAGTGATGGCTTAAATTGCCCGATCGCTGGTATGCTTGACTCTTAAACACATTAGATGATATATCCTCAAAAAATAAATAAAAATACATTAGATGAATTAAAATTATAAAATATTATCGGGATACATTCACGTTCTAATGGTCGAGTTGATAATAAGTAATTACATTGTCCTCAATCTAATTCTGAAAATAGTTCTTATGCATGCAAAATCTTCTGACTTTTGCCTAGTGGAGCCAACTCAGAAACTAGAAGGAAATTTTGTTTTTTTGTTTATTTTTTAATACATTTGAGAATTAAACACAGCACCTATTACCCACCATCCACCCCCTCACCACTAGACTATAGCCTAGTGCCTTAGAAACTTTGATTCTTAACACAACGTTTTTTGTTTTATATATCTATGATCTAGATGCAAAGAAGAGAAACAGAGTAGTTTAGCCAAAAATGCTAAAGAAATTAAAAAGGAATATTTCCTGTAGTACGGAAGATGTATGTTTTAGCTGTAAATTTCAGTGTGTCAAACAAAACCTAAAAAAGTGGCTTTTAACATCCAAAAATTAAGAGTACAAATATCTGCGGCTTCAATTTGTAGTATTGCACTGTATATAGAACCCAATAATTCTATATATTGTGTTTGCTTACATTAATTTGTTTATCACTTTCCATATATTAAACAAGCATCCACAAAACTGACTGTCTTGTATTACCCCAATTGAATCATCACCGATATAATTGTCCCCAGTATTTACAGCTAAACTATAGAAATGGTTTGACAAATAAGATGGAGCTAATAATTAAAGCCTTCAAAAACTTTCTGGATTCTGATTTACAATTCAGTTTTTGACAAAAAGAAAAGAGATAAAACATAGCTACTGCTATAAATTAATTAAAAAAAAAAAACTCCAAGATCAGTGAAGATCTTACTTTTTCAATTATGCCTACCAAGCAAAACAATGCGGATTAATGAATCTCACATATGCTTTACCCCACTTTCTCTTTCTATCCATTTGTATCCGGCAGGTAAGAACTGCAGAAGAGGGACAAAGAAAGGTAGGTATATTAACAGATGTCTAATGCATAAAATGTTAACGAAGACATGCAAATTCTATATAAAGGATTTGAATAGCCACCGGAATTCAATGTATATAGCCAAAGAATGATGCAACCATTATAGACATGCATGTTTATAAATCCTTTAAATCAATGCATGGCACATAAAGGTCACCATGTTCTCTAATATTATTCATTTACTTTAAAGTAATTATGGACTGACATCTTTCTATTGGACGAACCCTTTTCATTTATCCAACTAAACACAAGATGAACTTATTCGAAACAATAAATCTTCATGGCACAAATCATTATAAAAATGCTTTTCAATCTTAGTATTGTAGGTCTCAAGACAAAAAACTAGAATATGCTGCGATTACTATTTAAGGATGCCGCAGAAGCAGACCAAACCTGTTGCCCGCAATTGGATATATCTTGTATTTTATACCAACTTTTTTTGGCTGGCATGTCGGTTTCCACAAAATCCCTTTCAGAAGATACAAAGCTTATGATATCTTTCATTAGGTAAACATGAGCAATCGCAATGAGGCTAATGTTATTGTTCGAACAAAATGCTAATCTGATTGCTAAGGCTATCTTGAATTGATAGATTACCAAATTCCTGGGACACCCGTACAGGCACCTTACTTGACTTGAGAGCATAATATGGGTTATTTATAATATTTCCTCCTACATATGTAAATTTCCTTTTGATACTCAGCATGATATTTCAACTTGACAGATAAATCAGTAGAATATGCTGTGCAGGCAAATCCAATGTGACCACTTACTGTTCTATATGTGCTCATAATTGATGAAAACCAGACCAGAGGTCTGTCATTGTGAAAAGACCGTTCCCCTAACCGACCCTTTGCTTACTACTGCGAGCACTGATATTAGCTTTCTACCAAACTAGATTCCCCACTCCCCGGTTATGAAAAAAGTAGCTAATAATTACAATCACATACGCAAAATCATGGGAATCATTCATAAATTCAAATCACCAAGTATTAGGAAAACCCACGTAAACAGGCCTACATCAAGAGACATAATAATTTAACAGAAGAAGAAAAGAAAAAACAAAAAGGGAAAATCCACAATAGATAGCAAGGGGACCAGAACAACATACCTAGGCTGAAAATTGTTTTGAGGAAAAAGCGGAAAGGCGTAAGAGCTGCAAAATTGGAAATCAACAAGATGGACCGACACTCCTACACTCCTCGCTTTCCGACTGTTGCTGGTGGTGGTGGGGCAGTTGTGACTGATGGGTTTGTTGTTGCGCTTGCTTCTGCTGCGGAGGAAGCAGTAGCTGAGCCTGAAGTGGAAGGTGGTGAGGATGGGGTTCTCCTTGCTGTGGTTGCTGCATATGGTAACTGTTGTCGAAGGATCCCAAAGCCAATGACGGAGACAACTGATCAGCCGTTGCAGCAGAAGCTGGGGACACATGGCTGAACCCACCACCACCAGAAGAAACGGAACCCACATCGAACCCACCACTGAACCTCAGGAATTCTTGCTGCTGTTGATGCTCGTAACTCCTGAACATCTCCTGCTGCTCTCTTGCGGCCACAGCCGCAGCCATTTGCTGAGCTTCCAAGATCTGATGCTGCGGCGGCTGAGGGTCGCGAATCACCAACTGGCCTCCGTGCACAGATGGCATGTTGCCGTTATAAGGGTAAAGGGAGGAGGCAATAGCGTTGTTGGGGTGATGTTGTAGAATGGTGGTGGGCATGCCCTGCATAGCCTGGGGTCCAATATAGGTTGCGAGTTCCTTCTTGGCATTATTGAGTTCCACCTGGATCTGCCTGAGCTTGTGTTGGAGGACCGAGATGAGGCCCACGCAACCGTAGACGGGGTCCCTAAGGCGGGCCTCCGCCTCATAAGCAAGGGACTTGACTGCGTCGTCTCGCTGCGCAGCGTTGAGCTCGTTCAGCAGCTTGGCCACGTTGCTGGCGCCGAAAACCTTGTGCACGTAAGCAAACCTCTGAGGGTTGTCCGGTGGAAAGTACGGTGCGTACACGCACTCTTGCGTGCACTTCCGCCGCAGAAACTTGCACGCTGCGCACGGTGAATTCGATGATGACATTTTTTTTCCGATCTCTCTCCTCCCTCACTCACCGAAGCAACTCCTGCTGTTAATTAAATCATCAAATAATATTAAATCAAACCCCTAATAAAAATCAGTACTATGATTTCTCTTTCTTCAGACGAGCGATCTAATTAATATCTTGCTTTCACAACCCTGCAGTACCATGATTTCAATTTTCTACAAACAAACAAACAAGAGAGAGAGTCAAACGGAGATAATAATAATTAAATAACAGTAGCCGATAAATAAATAGAATGCATGGAAATTAAGGAATCATAGAGGTAAATCCGTAAATGAAATTGATGATTCAACGAAGCTTCATGTACGATTCATGATCGTGGATTAAAAAAAATAACACTTAAATTATTAAACTAATCTAGGTCATTAAAAGCGTGTCCTAATCCTTTTTTGACAAGAAATTAACCGACACGAAAATGAGGCAATAAACGATGATTGCCATTTCCAATCACGCTACAGAAAAAAAAAATTAGATACGAAAATAAATAATATTGGCACAGGAAGAAGAATGATGTCAAAATATTGAAATGCTAAAAAACCTCAGCGAAAACCAAAAGATGATGAAAAAGGAAGTTAAACCGGTAGATCTGGATATGGCTATGTTTGCGTGCTGGTGAAGTTTGAAGGTACCAAAGATAAATCGAAAGGTTGCGGCGGAGAAAGAAACGCAAGTGTTGAGATCTATCAGTGGCTCATGATCGAAATTCATTTGATTTTAGAAACATCCCGATGAATATATATATATATATATATATATATATATATAGAGAGAGAGAGAGAGAGAGAGACTTACTGTGGCCTGTGGATGGATCGGTGTAGGATAGAATTTCACAGCATGTGATGTGTTGTTGAGATTAAGAAATGAGAGCGAAAAACGAAAACGAAAGAGAAGAGAGAGAAATGATATATAGAGAGGAGGTAGATATAGGGCTTTTCTAATCTCTTGAGTACTAGTGCCACACAAGCGCAAACAAACACCTTTCAGTACCAGCCATCCTTGCCTTCTTTATAAATCTATCTTTATTAAATCCCATTTCGCCCCGCCCTATATAATTATATGTTCAACTGTGTATTACTCTTTTTTATAGTCATCATCATTATTTTCTTAACTGCCTTCCCTTTTTTAGTAATATTTATATCGCACAGATTATAAATGTTTAGCAAATTTAGAGTACTTCCACATATAATATTAGTTAATAGATGGGTTCGTCAGCAGCTTATAACAAACAAAACGAATATTCATTCCTTTTGTGTTTCCGCCTTCTGCCAAATCCAACCATCAAGTTCTTGATATATATGCTGTTAGTTAGTTTCGATTCTTCTGTGACCAAATGGTTTGTACCTTTTTGTGGTGCTAATAACCACCTATTCTGCTGTGATTTTCAAGTGTGCGACAATCGTCATGCATGTGTCTCATAAATCTTGAATGATAATGGTGTATATACATTGAATTTCTAATTTCAAGATTTGTGAGACTCAATACATATAAAATTATCCCCAAAAAAAAATATTGGTTTGACTTTTTCTTATGGTATAAAAATATCACGGTTTCTTTCCAGCTTGTACGTCAGTTTAGAATGTGGAATTGACTAATTTGAGCAATATTGATTCATAGAATGCAACCTTCTTTTTTAAAGTAATTATTAATATATTAAAATTTGATTTCTGAAATCTTCAAGACTTGAAATGGACGTGTGCATTGATTATGATATAATAATCTCCTACAATTGGAGACATTGTAAATTGTGAATATATGGCGAGAAAAACAAACAAAGACATTTGAATACTAACCTCCCGGACAATGTAAAAAATGAATGGCAATTTTAAATAGTAAAACAAAGGGTGGGGAGAAAGTTAGATAGTTAAGTTAAAGATGAGGGCTTTTGCTGCGAAACGCAATGATGATTATTGTGTTTTCTTTATGCAGTGCAGACTGCAGCACAAGTCCGTGTACCGTGCGCGTCAACCCTATTGTCACCGCTCGCTACCGTACTGTCTCCACGACTTAGGCGACAGTTGTCTCTATACAATACTAAATAACAAGTAATAGGGCCATTCTCCTTTCCTCTTTCTCTTTAATTAGGCCTGCATAGTGCATACACATGGACATGCAACAAAAAAATAAAAATAAAAATAGGGCCAGGCCTGCACGTGCTTCGAGGGGGGGGGGGGGGAAGGGAGGTTTGAATGTGACCTGCTATTCCCGGTCAAAGTCCGTACTGAAAAATCCCCAAAAAGAAGAGTGCTTCGTCTTCCTCCTCCTCCGTTTTTTGACTTGAGCTCCTACTACTGACCACTGCGCACATGGAGCACAGTCATTTTGATTGACCTGTTTCCAGCTTTTGGTATTTTCACTCATTCGTTAACTTTCCTGAAGTGACAAAACCTTAAGCTTCCCCTCCTTCCCCTTCGCTATCCCAACTCAGCCGTCACTGCTCAGGTTTTTTGTTTTCAACTCTCCCAATCCCTACCGAAGAACTTCTTCCCTCCCTTTAACCAAAACACACACTGCGATAGAGTACAATTCTTATGAGTATTGAAGTTAAATTTGTAATTAAATTATTTACAATAAAATTTATTCTTATATATATATATATATATATACGGGATTTATATTTCTGCAACTGCTGTATGTGCTGCAATTAAATACTTGATATATATATATATATATATATATATTTAAAAACATTAAATGTGGATGATCATAACCATACACCTCTATCATTGGTGTACATAAAGTAACTGCAGAAATGATTTTACCTATATATATATATATATATATATATATATATATATATATATATATATATATATATATATATAGGGATAGGATATTGTGACAATCAAATAACGTTACTACCAATGTTACTACCACATCTTAACCGTTGATTTCCGTCAATCAACGGTTATCATTTTTCAGATCAAACTCATTAATTAATTATTAATTCACAATAAATGATAACCGTTGATTGGCGAAAATCAACGGTTAAGATGTGATAGTAACATTGGTAGTAACATTATTTGGTTGTCACAATATCCTATCCCATATATATATATTGAGTAATTAAGTTAACCGTTAAAAAAAAAACTTTGAGCCACTTTAATATGATATGTGGCATATAAATTTGCTTTATACAATATAATCTTTTCTCATAATGATACATGTGTGTTGGAAATATTTGCAAAAATGTTTGAAAAAAATATTTCTCAAACAACTTAAGATAAGTTTATCTCCGGTGTAAAGAACCTTGGGATACACTACCCCAACAGCTAGCTCAAAGGGTGGGAGTGTCCAAGGCCTTATAAAGGCCATATTAGTTGCCCATCCAATCAATGTAGGACTATATATCTCAACACGTCCCCTCACGCAAGAGCCCTTTAGGCTAGAAGCGTGGAAATTGCACAGGCCTATTTTTGGTTTACCTTTTGTGCTTTTTTTTATTATTTTTAATTCCACTTTAAAGCGGGGGACGGTGAGGCTCTGATACCATGTAAAGAACCTTGAGATACACCACCCCAAAAGCTAGCTCAAGAGGTGGGAGTGTCCAAGGCCTTATAAAGGCCATATTAGTTGCCCATCCAATCAATGTGGGACTATATATCTCAACATCCGGCTACCTCAAAATTATGTCATTTTATTTATTTTCTTATATTAATTGATTCATCTTGAATGGTTATGATTTCTTTTTTCTCTCTCTTCCTTTATCACCATTGATCCATCTTTGTACAGTTATGGTTTAGTAGTCGGAGATAAAATTATCTCAAACAACTTGAGAAATGATAAGCTCTATATATATGTGTGTGAAAAATATTTTTTTCTAGTAGTGACTAATGACATAAATGGAGTTTATAAAATAATGGAAAGAAAAGAAAACATTTAAAGTGGAACTCATCTATGTCATGAGTCACTACTCACTAGTAGGAGAAAATGATTGTCCATATATATTTGAAACATGATCAATTTATACTGATATAAGAATAATAAATCTTACATTTAATCTTAATCATTAATTTTTATGTATTAGATGATTATAATTTATTGAATTATACTCATTAACTAATTCTTATATCAGTGTAAGAAAATTAATTAGGTGATTACAAAAAGTGTAAGAAGATTAATCAGTGTGAAAGATTATACTCATTAATATATATATATATATATATATATATATATATATTAATAACATTATAAATATAATAATATGGATATAGTTTATATAACACTACAAAAAGAATAATCAATTATATATAAATAAAGATTTAATCACTCGGAGCGAGTGATTACAGATGTACATGCAACTGCTCTTTTTTATATAAAAAATGAGGAAGAAGATATATAACTATTGAAGGGCGAGTTAATGCGAATGCATTGGATCACTTCAACATCATTAAAACTTGTATAGTTGTACACAGCTAGTATTTCTCTACATTTTATTTCATATCTCTTTACTCAATGAAAAGGTTTATATATACTTGTATATGAAAGAGAATCATATGTTATCAAAAAAAAAAAAAAAAAAGAAGAGAATCATATCAACATTTTAAAAGAAACAAGAGTTCATTTTATTAAAAACCACCGCAATAAAGCTAGATTACGAGAACAAACTTATAGTTAAAATAATTTAATTTATGTTAAAAATAAAAAAATTCAATTATTTTTTATTTTATAATACAACACTATACTAGCCGTCTCCAATAGTGTACTTATTGTTCAATGAGAAAATACTATAATATCTTTTTACTTTTTTAACCAGTATTTAAATCATATTTTCATAATCTAAAAATAAAAAATAAGTAAATATTATAGAATTTAATATATTAGAAATTAAAAAAAAATATTTAAAAATATTCATTATTTTATTTTTTAAGTTATAAATATATTAAACTAAGATATTAAGTGCACACTTATTTTATTTAGTTAATATATTTTAATCAGTAATTATAAAAATGTATTTTGTTTTTGAAGAAATAAATTAATA